GCTTGCTGTAAATGTATTCCCTAACTGAAAAACAAGACAAAACACTGTCTGAATTTAAAGTATTTGAACAACCGACTGTGGTTTAAATTTAAATCTGACTCATAACAGTGTAATATGTTTCACAGTATCTTCCTCCTCATACCTCCGAGCATGGAGAGAGGCCCTTAAAGAAATGGGGGTTACCAGTGTCTGGAGTGCAGACATTTCTTCCTAGACCCAAAGCAAGATCTACAGAAGCCCTCAGCATGGACCAGGCCCCCCTAAACATGGAAAGACCCAAGGTCTGCTCCTGCTTCCTTCAAATTCTTGATCGTAACTCGATGCCCTCCCAGGGCTGTAATCTGGTGCTCCAACCCTGCATGCTGATACGTCCCATGATACATCCCCACCATCTGCAGCATCTCAGATACCCACACCCACGGCAACCTTGGATAATGATGATGATAAAAAACAGCACTTAGGCTGCATTTTTTGTGATGCTTTATGATGTGTTAACAAAACATGGCACCACTTTCATAGGAAGTAATTATTACTTGTTATTGTTTGATGGTCTGTACATAATAAAAATACCTTAAAAACAATACAGCAGTGCTCTTTGAATGACAACTTTTTGCTCTGCAAGGGTTTCCACTCATCCAGTTTTGTAGTGGTGCCCATTTATTTTTTGGTATGCTTATTCATAAAAGACAAGCTTTCTTCTGAAGGGTGCAGGGACTTTATTCATAAATACAGAAGTACCTTAATAAAAGAAAGATGTGATGAAGTCTTCAAAGCAGGCAAGAAAACTGATGAACAAAGACATTTCCAAAACAACTGAGCTTTATCTGATCAAATTCCAATAAAGCCTGCATTTGGCATAAATCTTTAAAAACATAGCAAGGGCTACTGGAGGATGCTATAACTTGTTTATTTAATATTATTCCTCCTCCCGCCCCAGAAGTACTTTATCCTCTTAATATTTTCTGAAGTCTCAGTGCACATTGAGAAGTGAACGCAGTGCAGTGGAAGAACAGGAGGAGAACCAAGGGAGAGCACTCGCTCTATCTGAGGTCATGCCGCTTCCTTCCTTCCAGCTTCTCACCCTCTCATGTGCTGATGATCAGCAGCACCACGAGCAGCTTAAACCTCACTTTCAGGGAGAACAAATAACAGATAAGATAGTGCCTTTGAAGAATTTAATTGTCTGTGGTTTCACTTAACCAGAGCCAAGAAGAGAGAGAAGCTTCTACACCAGCCTTACAAAAGAAACTTAATTCCTACTTCTATGAGTTTTATTATTTTCCATCCTAGAGGCTACTTACTATGTGCACTGTGCTTCCCATCTGTGCAGGGACAAATATATAGGGCTGACTAATCCTTGAATGCCAATAAAAGTATTCTGGGTGGAAACAGACATTAAAGAAACTGGATCTGCACTCAGGGATTACCACTTGTCCACTGACTTCGTGGATGCATCCAGGGTACCTCCATGAGAAGTAATCTCCAGGACTGACTGCCCTGGGAAACTCAGGGGCAGCAGACCTGGCAAACAGATCCACAACCACTCATTCCCAGCATAAATACGATGCTCCGACCCTGCTGTTGAGGTGGGAAAAGGCTCCTGCTGCTGCTGCTGCACCGGGGGCCAGGAGCAAGGGGCCAAGGCCCTGGTTCACCATGCCAAGCAGCCCCAGACTGCCTTCCCACAGTCAATGCAAACAAGGGCTGCAGGAAAACACAAAGTCCTTTTCTGATGTGGTTTGGGAAAGGGAGCCAAGTATAGCCTGAGGAAAGCTTAGCCAAAAAGGTGCAGTCTTGCATTTCTTTTTCATTTTAAGGGGTAGATCTGTAAAGTCAGAGGACCACACAAAGAAAGAATCAGGAGGAGAAACAAAATATTTATAATTTGCTTGCTTATTTTTTCAATTTAGCCTGCACATCTGTCTCTAGCTGTTCCTAAAATAGTCCTTCACAGTAATTTTGTCCCTTCTGCACCAGTGGTGTGTATACTACTACTAAACTGCCACTGGACTAAATCAGAGAGCTCTTGGAGAGCAGTCAGGAGACCTGCATGTATGCAGGGACAGACACCTTCCCAGTGAACCACCACAAGAGAGCTCTGACTCTCTCCAGAAGACTTCTGCTCTTCTCATCCTGCTTGAGTGAGAAAAATGAGGGGACGAGGAACAACCATTCCCTGAAACTACAAGCATGAAAGGAATTTCAAAAACCCTCATCAAGAAGATCTCAACAAAGCAAAACACGAGGCAACCCGAAACTTGGTGGGAGGGAAAAAAATACCCTAATAATTAAATGTTACTTATGCAAGTAGAAAAAAACACACTGTTCCTTCTGGGCACAACAGCCCTGGCAAGCCTAGCACATATCTCACAAGACAGGAAGCAGTGCTTATGCATGGGAGGAGTGGTGACTGCACACGCCAGCTCCACCAGCAATCTCCCCTGCAAGGCTTTCTCTTCATGCTGGAAGTGAAGATACTCCAGAAAGTCATCAGCCCTTACAGAACATACTTGCTTCTCCCACCTCCACTGAAATTAACATCTTCCTTGTTCTCCCCTTCTACCTCCCACATTTATTCCTTCCTCTGCTGCTAGACACACCTGTCAGTCTATCATTATGCAGTCCTAAAGCTCCTCTCCATTATCATCACCCTGGCACAAATGTCTCCTACCTATCCTTCCCTACCTTCAGCTCCTTAGCTCTTCCTCTCTAAAATGAATATTCTAAGTTTTAGGATGTTTTATATAGCATTGTCCTACAATACATCCTGCTCTTCAACTTCTCCCTGCTTTTGCTTCTCCTGTTAAACTGCCTGCTAGCCTCATGGGTTGTGATGGAGACTAGATGCAGCAATATTTAGGGACTCTGATGTTCCTGCAGATAAGCAGCTGCTGATAGAGCTGCTGATAAGGAATCCATGCAGTTCCAGTCGACCATCACAGAGCTACAATAATACCTGCACACAAGGTTTGGGCAGAGCTGCATAAAAGACTGTATGTATGTATGTAGGAGCAGAGGGATGTAAAAACAATGAGCAGAAGGTGGCTACAGGAGCTTGTAAGAAGTAAAACAGACAGAGGAACTAACAGGCAGCTTTTATCATTTTAATAGGTGCTCTGAAAGGGAAATGCTCCAGAGACAGCTTGCCTCTCTACAGGCAAAGGAGCAAAGTAACATGCCTAAAATATGCCTGGCACAAACACACACACACAGAGTTGGCTGCCTTTGGCTTGCTTGTTACTTGGTAGAGAAAAGACCTAATTCTACACTAACCTGAACTCATTACTCACCTCACACTTCACTGAGTGTGCCCCACCCAGCCTAAAAAAGTCATTGCCATACTCACCAGCTATATATTCATTTAAAGGACTAAAGTACCTGCCCTGGATGCAGGTGTCAGTCATTTCCATGGGCACAAGCTTGCTGGAGTCAGGCTCTATGAAATAAGATCCAGCTGTTTCTCATCACGAGGTGAAATCCCAGCCAAGCAAAGGCCCTTTTTTCCCTACGTCCACTGAACCCTTTGTTTCCCAAGTTCCTCAGACATGGAAAGGCAATGAGCTGAGCTCAGGCAACTGCAGCTGTGCTCTTTTCAGGTGGCTGTCTAACAGCTCTCAAAAGTAGAACAACAGAAAGCCCAGAGATTCCATCAACTCCTTTTAGGATGTCTGAACAATGAGGTCAAGCCCGAACATACAATGATTTCAAAAGTCTGGTGTGGCAGCAACACAGGGACTTGTAGTGTAATCCTCTGGGACGGCCGCTACATACAGATGACAGCAGCAACTCTCAGTAAAGATTCCAGCTAGCTTTCTCTTTTAACAAATGACACATCATTTAGTCAGCTTTTCTGCCAGACTGTCCTTGGAAAGGAAGGAAGCCAGGTCACAGTTGTGAAGCAAAACACCCAGTGACCATCTGTGGACCCGAGCCATGTTCAACTGGGAATCACACTTCTCTGACATTTAAACAAAGTCTGAACAGTCAGTATGCCTTTTCCTGCTGTCAGCCTCTAAGGCTGGCTTATACAATCACTTCAGCAAGCATGTGAACCCAACTTTCCCCCTTCTCTGCTCCAAATTTGTCTTGCACTTGACCAGACTAAGCATGAAAAGGTGAATATTCAAAGCGAGGGAAAAGACTAATTCAAATTTACAGCCACTGGATCTGAACCAGACTCTACAGTGTTGCAAACCCAGGGCAGAGCTAACGAGAGCAGCAAGAACAGAGCTAATGAGGGGCTCAATACACTTCGTTTTATAAGGTGGTATCCTATCCAGCTGTTTTTTCAGCAGAACAAATCCCAGACTGCTGGAATAACCGTGAGTTTTCCTGGGAGCTGAGCTCCTTTCTTCTTGTTGTGTTTCTCTGCAAAGTGAACTTTAGATTAAATATGCTCTAGACAATATTCACACAAATGTCCAGACTCTATATAAAGTGACTTTAAAGATTAAATTATATCAGTCTTATCAACACTCAGAAAGGACAGAGTTATGGGGTCATTTTCTTCCTCATTCCATCAACTGTCCGCTCTCTCATCACAATACTTAGGCCACTCTACAGAAGCCAGGTTGGAAACTGCCATGCTTGGAAACTTAATTATTAGCAACGTCATTTCTGTGAGGAACAGTTAACAGGAGTTTCCTGAACCAGAGAGAGAAATTTGACTTCTTATTTGTAAACTCCAGTTCAGGGCTAGGTGCTGAGAGGCAAAGATCCTCAGAATGACTTTTCTGATGTCTTGTTCTGTCACTTAAAATTAATGATATGCTGAAACTCTGGAGTCCTGAGGCACAAATGCTTGAAAAGTTTTCACATTATAGCTTCATATGATTTCGAATTAAGTCCTTTCTACGAAAGGCACGGGGAAATACGAGGCTACTTTGGAAAGACAAGACTCGGATGCCTCTCCCTCTGGTTTGCTCCACCTGTTAGATGAGTACCAAGGCAGGTTTGCTAAGGAGAGGTGGGAAGCTGACGCATGTGAGGCGCCACCATACCTGGTACAGCTCTATCCGCTGCTCTGAGACCCGGGCCTTTGAGTTCTGCAGGCGAAAGACCCTGAACTCAGCCTTCACCAAGTTGGAGGCATTCTTCTCCATCGCCGAGACATCAAATCTGACGATTCGGAAGTAAAGGCTGTAATAGCTTGGTGGGATGGCATCTGCAAGAAGGCAGTGTGATTTTATTATTTTTTTTTAATGACAAAATACATTGTTTCTTCAAACAGCATAACACAAGACAGCCTCAGTAAGTGAAGTATCTGTAGCATGATTCAGTTTCCAATGGCCAGTTTATTATTATTAACAATTTAGTAAAAAAACCCCAAACAAAACCCCCACATGTGTTTGATTATAGAAATACCATATTAATAGAGATTAACAACCATTTCCAAGTCTATTTCAGGTCATGCATTTAAAATCTTCTCTTTCAACATACTGGTGGAAAATCATGGATGCTTATAACTTGGGAAAAAACCACAACAGTTGGTATCTGGCAAATGCTTTGAGACATGCACCAAGTTCACAGGGATCTGCTAAAGCAACACGCAATGGCAACTCATCTGATCTGTATGCTCTCAGAAGCTCATTTCCCCACGGAACATGGGAGTACAATGTAGACAGCTTCAGACTTTGTTTTCTGCTCAGTTATTAAAGGATTTTATTGGAAAAAAAGATTCATTCTTATTATAGTAACAAGGACAGGAAGGGAAGAGGAAGAAGAAAGGGAGGGAAAACACAAGCAGAGAGCAGACATTATAAACAGAATTACATGCATTTTGGTCACTTGGAAGCAGGAAAAGTTGTAAACATAACCACTTCTCACTATATTTTGGGGAGAAAACAGAGAAAACAGCTAGACAAACTGACTCAAATCTTCAGTAATGGTGTTAAAAATACAGTTTAGGTTAGACAAACTGACTCAAATCTTCAGTAATGGTGTTAAAAATACAGTTTAGGTTTCAAAACAGTCTCTTACTCTTTC